AATGTTATATTTTGCTTAAATTAATCCCATTTAATATATCTGCGTAAAATTAATATAATTATATTATGTATAATATATTAAAGAGATTTTTTTTTTTTTTTACTTTCTTCTATACTCTTATATTCAGTCGTTCGAAATATTCTTCCGTGAGTCAATTTTATTAATCAGCAATCAATTCTGTACAATATCTGGAATGAATCAAGTACAAGATATAGTACAATAAGTTAGGGGGACCAATTCTTGAAGATACATTACGATGAAAAAGAAATCATATGTACAGCGAAGAGCAATAATATATAAATATATAGATTGTGCTTAGTTTTTCCTTTGTTTCACTGGAATTAGCAAAATATTCAGTTAATGACATAAATGTGACGAAAAATAATCGTTTAAATAAATAAACTGTTAAAAATTACAAAAAGATTTGTTTTTGTTTTTATTATAAAAAGAAAGATGTGCTTTATCTTTCTACTAAATTTTATTTCTTGGTAACTTATTTGTCGAAGACTGTATGTACTTACAAAAATAAAAAAATGTAATATCGAACAGAATAAATTTGTAATCGATTAAATAGTTAAGTACAAAATAAATTGATTTATCGATGAACACTTTCGGCACAAGTTAGATCTACACAATCATACACTATTTAATAAAGACACTTTCTCCTTGTCCATTTTCTTTTTTATATCAAAGGCTTAGAAAGTCCAAAATTTTTGATTATTCTCTTATAAATTATTAATTATGTTTTTATATTATAATTTATTTGTTATAAAAAAAAAATTTTTTTTCCAAAAATCATTTTGTACGTATTCGAAATTAAAATTTTAAATTTTAAAATGAATAATAAATATAAAAATTCTCTATATGCCATATAAAAAAATATAGGCAAAAGAATAAATAACTTAAACAAATACAATTAAAATATATTAAATATTCAAAATGAAAATGAATGACGAAACCTCAGTCATATGATCGAATACATAGAATGATAAAAAAGATTAGAAACGTTAAAAAAAGAAATAAACAGCAGAAGAATATATATTCAAAGAATAACAATCAATTGTTAAGATTCCATGTAATAATGTCTATTAAACACTTTGACTCCATTGTATTGTGAAAGGTGCTATCAAGGAAGAAGCTCTTTGATTCTGTGAGGGAGGAAAGTTGACGTCGATACCCAGCAAAAGACAGACTAAAAGATGATCATAGACAAATGGATTATAACAACTTGGAACTTGAATGATCAGGTCCAATGATTCTCTTTTCTATCAAAAAAATATATCCGCATAATTTCTAATTGCACTCATTATTCTACAAACTCAATGCCGTCCTTCTTTTTATGATTTCATGATCATCTCACATTAACTATCATTATGCCATGACGTCCCTACAAAGAAAATCTCGTTTTCTGAATATTTGTTTCTTTGGATGTATAGTTGGGACATAAATGTTAAAAATTGTACATATGTATTTTTTTTTTCTCTTAATATGCACGAACCAGTCGTACGTAGTGCGAATTACATTGGCATGCATATATATATTCCTTATCATGCGATCATGATTTACTTAGTAATAATAATAGTAATAATAATATAGTCTGTCTGATTTGTACTTTGTGGAAAATAGTAAAGAAGAAAGCAAAAAAGAGTATGAATTGAATTTCATAGTTGTATACGAGGTTCATAAAAAAAATTCGTTCAAAAAGTCTGATAAAGAAACATCGACGCAGAATTCTTCGAACATGTGTTTTTCTCAATATTAAGGCATATATAACATGAACATATAATAATATTGCCTGTCTACTTATTTCCAAACGAATTCTTTTCTTCTTGCTATCACTTGTTGTATTCCATATACTATGTACATATGCAATTATTTTTGATTCTAATTATAAAAATATTCATGCTTTTGTAAAATAGTATATAAAATCAAGAAATAAAATTTTAAATTTAGTTTCCTCTTGAATTCATGATCGAAAAATAAAATCTGGTTGTGATATTATTTTTATTCAAGAATATGCGATTAAATAGTTAGCGCTCTGACATGTGTACACAAAGATAAAATAATATATATATATATATAAATAAATAAATATACATATACTATAGATCCATATATGTATATGTATATACAGTGACATTGTATAAAATGTACATGAGATTAAAAATACTTTTTGCAAGAAATTTTACGTGAGTATCGACGTGCTAATTCTTGAATAATTTGTCGTGCAAAAGACGCAACACGTTATAAGATGTATAATTCTATAAGGTATAAGGTAATTGATTTATCGAACGATAACAATACGGGATAATATTATTACGATGTATAATATTAGTATGAATAATATTATGTAACTTTGGCCTCTTTATACAATTATTACTATAAATCGTTCCAATAAAAAAAAAAATAAAATACAGATAAAGAGACAGTTAGCACCCGTCAGACAAAAAAAAGTTATTCTCTGAATCAAAGAAATAACGGACTTTTTTTCTCTTTTCAATAATTATATGTTCTTATATGTGTTATGATAACAATTTAAAACTTAAAATTAACTTAGAAACTTTTTTACACTAGCAGAAATTATTTTTCCGTATAGTTATTTTTCTATTTTAAGTGGTTACGATTGGAACATTTTAATTGACATCTAAACTTTTATATAAAATAATATCATCTAAAAAAAAATAAAAAATAAAAAAAAATAGCGATCCAAAAAATGTTATGTTACTTTACATTACAACATTAAATTGTAATAATTATTCCATTCGAAACCACATTCGGCACACTTTTAATTCTGTCTTTCATTTCATTTAATTGATTATTTTCTGAGCTTTGTTTCAATCTGCGTTACTTATTATATATAAGATCCCTTGGCCCATCCCATTAAAAAAAATCCTACTAACACAATTGCACAAGTTTGTACGTTTAAAAAGAAACAAAAAAAAAAAAAAAAAAAAA